GAACTGTGTGTGAACTCTTAATAGCAAAGAAACCATGTCCTTGAACCTTCTACACAACAGAAATAATAGAAGTCCTCTACCAAATAAATGGTTTAAACAGGAAACTGGAGTTCACCACATGATGAACCGGAGCATGACCTTATGACTTCTGTGGTTTTTGTAAATGATTGATTGGAATTTATATTTGCCTACTGTTAAGACAAACTATGGGTTTCAATCCATTAGGTAGTAAAATAGGGTTTGTTCTGGCTTTGCTCAGCCCTCAAATTCTATGCTGGAGCGATAGCTCTATTTAATCAAAGCCTTCCTGAGCTGGAAAAATAAAAGCTGTATTTACTCTCTCTCTCTCCTCACCCCTACTAACTGTGTCCTTCCTTCAATACAATTGCAGCAATGTAACTTTTATCACATTTCTGCACCCAGCTTGTGTGAGCATTTATATATTTCCACAGAAATGTGGCATTTGGAATTCACCCACGAGATTGCAACAGATTGGTTCTCTATCGTCTGTATGTTTTGCAGGCTTGCCATAAGGCAATGGACTCATATATTGGAATGGGATGGATACAATGATTTTCTATGCCAAATTAAATACTGCAGCTTCTTCCGGCCAAGTTGACATCATTTCTACATGACAACAGGCAGGGATCTGCTCTGCATCTGGCAGGCATCCTCACTGAACTTCTTCCCTTGCATTTCACTTCAAATTTCAATGGCATGCAAATGAGCTCCATATGGACAAATCAAATGCAAATGAACTACACAGTGAATGGGGGATGCAAAGCTTTAATTCCATTCTTAGAGCTCTGAAAGGACAAGGAAGTCTGGATAAAGGTTTATAGCCAAGGATTTAAAAAATAAAGCCACGCACGGATCGTTAAAGGATCGATGTTGAAATTCTCCAAATGAGCTACGACAAAGAGAAAATGGATTGTTGAATACTTTGGTTGCGTTATGGCTACTAATAGGATTATGACTGTTGCTAAGCTGCTCTTTATCAGTGGAACAGAATAGCATGCTGGTAGAGTGAATCTTTATTAGCATGACTATATTCTGAACAAGACACTTTTAGGGGCTAAAGGCTAAAAAATAGGCAGAGCTGAGAATAGCATCCTCTTGTTTTAGCTACAAATAGGTGGCCTAACTGAAAGTACTCTTATTGAAGACAGAAGTCACTTCTTGCCCACAGCCAGGTCAGATTAGCTTTGAGACCATTTCAATACAGAATTGGAAACAGTAAAAAAATAAGGTGTCCCCTACCTGTAAAACAGACCCAGGTTTGACTCTTTCTCTGATGGTCATGGAGATTAAACCTCTGACAGGCTACATAACAAAGAAGTGATAAGGACAGCAGTAGTACCATTCTAGTCTCTTGCTCCTGTATGGCTACTAAAAAAAATCAGTTCCTGTATTTATGTCAGCTCTACTATCTACATCAGTAAGGAGAGATGCATAATTCAAGTGAAAACCCTTCATAGGCATTATTATCTCTTGAAGTATTTTGAAAGAGAAGTATTAATCCAATTGGTTGTGCAGCAAATGCTGCAATAAATGCTGCCTGCTTTTAGATCATAGTGGAGTTTGATTAACATATCTTCATGTACCTGGTGTTTACTTTCTGGTGTCAGACCAAAGCTCTAGCTCAGAGGTCTTCAAACTTGGCAGCTTTAAGACTTGTGGACTTCAACTCTCAGAATTCTCCAGCCAGCTATGCTGGGAGTTGAAGTCCACAAGTCTTAAAGCTGCCACGTTTGAAGACCTCTGCTCTAGCTTGTGAGGACTCTCCTTCCTTGTTCATATCCCAATAGAGCAACTCAGAGCATATCCTGTGTTAGAAGAATTGGCAGCTATTTCTACCACAGTAACAGTTCAGGCCACATCCCTGTGGTAGGTTTAGGCCCAGACCCTTCCTCTATTTCTAATTAGGGATGGGCAGGCTAATTTTCCAAATGCAAGGCAAGGTTGACTACCACTTTGATAATGTGAGGCTGACACAACAGAGTAGAGGTAGTAAAGAGAGACAGACAATCAAATCCCTCCTTCCCTTACCAGATATTTTTTATTTTTAGGAGTCACTGTTTCCCTACCTGTAGGACTGTGATAACACCTATTGACTTGGTAAGCCAGCTAAGGAATGGGGCTCAGATTGAGGGAGGATGTGCTCTGTTGCTCAATGAAAAGTTTACATGCATGGCTATTCCACTGTATCAAATGAACTATAATGTTTGAATTCATTCATGAGCCATAGTGGCCAGTGGTGGGATTCAAATAATTTAACAACTGGTTCTCTGCCTTAATGACCGGCTGGGTGGGCGTGGCCATAGTGGGCGTGGCCAGGGGTGTGTGACAGGCAGCATTCAGCCTCCTGTACCCCCCTGGGAGCAAAAATGGGCCGCAGGGGGGGATGCACTGCCCTCCCATGCCCTGTTTTGGGCCTAGTAGGCCTCCCTGAAGCCTCCTGGGAGTGAAAACGGGCCATGGGGGGTAGGCGTGCCGCACCCCCCCATGCCCCGGTTTGGGCCTAGGAGGCCTCCCTGCACTTACCTGGGAGCCAAAATGGGGCACGTGGGGACTTCTGGAAGGGGCGGGGTGGGAAGGGACGGACCCAGCCAGCAATTTAACTACTGGTTCTCCCAAACCGGCCCAAACCGGCTGAATCCACCACTGGTGGAGGTGCAGTGGTTAGAGTGCAGTACTGCAGGCTACCTCTGCTGACTGCCGGCTACCTGCAATTTGGCAGTTTAAATCTCACCAGGCTCAAGGTTGACTCAGCCTTCCATCTTTCTGAGGTGGGTAAAATGAGGACCCTAATTGTTGGGGGCAATATGCTGACTCTGTAAACTGCTTAGAGAGGGCTTTAAAGCACTGTGAAGCGGTATATAAGTTTAAGTGCTATTGCTATTTGCATATATGGAGAAAAATCTATTCTGTTTATTAAGAGGGCGTGTATTTAAAAAAATGTCTCCTAATTGCATGGGAGGAAATAACTGAATACTTGTAATCAATCAAGAAGCATTTGGAATCTCTTTTACTTTAAGCATTTCAATAACCCTTGAAACTAGCCTTATATAACTTGGTTTCTTTAAAACAGAGGGAGAAGGAAGAGAAAGAGCAGACTAGGGTGGGGTGGGGGAAGGAGGTTGTCTTTGATTCAGCTCCATTCCAAAAATAACTAATTGCTGCAAATAATATTTGCGGGTGTGTCTGCTTCAGCTGTGCTCTCAGCTAGGCAGAAGATCAAGAATCATTTATTTAGAGAATTTTCAAGGTTGGATTCTAAGGAGTTGGGGGCTTTTGTTCAGGAGATGATGAAAAATATGCCAATAAAAATATCCCTTTCAGGCTTTTGTGATACCACCCATTCATAACTGCTGTCTCCTTTTTATTCTATTTGAATTGTCTTGGTAAATTACCTCTGAGGATGATTCCACCCACATGCAGCTTTTAAATTTATTTCTCAGAAAATGTTGAACACCTTTCCTCCAGCGGAAGGAAGGAAGGAAGGAAGGAAGGAAGGAAGGAAGGAAGGAGAGAGGCAGGAAAGACTATACTTTTTAATAGAAATACCTGTTTTTCCCACAGATTTTAGGATCGAAAAGCATGTTTGAGCAAATTAACAATTAAGACAGCTTCATTAGATAAAATGTCCTATTTTGGAGATAATTCTAATGTTCCATTCTCCTAGAAGGATAGAAGCTCCCTTAAAACGTTGAGAATGATTTCATATGTAAGAGTTTACAGTATTGTACTGAAAATCACATTTATTTATCAGAAAGCTCATAATAATACTGAACACCATCAAAATATATATCCTTCCTATTGCTCTTTAAGGAAGATTGGATCTCCAGTTCTAGACTGGACAGGTTCTAATTTAAAGCTATCCAGAGAGGCTGGATTACTATCCCCATCACCCAATCAGCATGAAGTTATTGTGAATTCTTACAGCTGAGGTGATAATAGCTATAAACCATTATGTCTAGGCGTCCCCAAGTTAAAATTCAGTTTAATAAAAGGCAAAGGAAGTTAGACACCAACCTAAAGCTTGCTGGAGGGAGGGCAACTCTTATACTGTCCATCCCATAAATATATCCTGGAAGAATATCTTCATCACATTCCAGACAAACATGACTCCAATCAGAAGGAAACTCTCTTCTAAGGAACTTAAAATTAAGTATGGGGGAGCATATAAGGTGTCTGGGGACAAGGGGAATAAGGTTTTACAAATCATAATCACCAATTGAATTATAGAATGCAGGTAGTCCTCGACTTACAACCATTCATTCAGTGGCCATTCACCACAGTGCTGAAAAAAAAGAAACATGACCTGTGCCTGAAGTTACAGCCATGGCAGTGCCCCAGCAGTCATGCGATCAAAATTCGGCATACTACCTGCACTTACAGCTGCAGGGGCACTGTTGCTCCTCCCCACCCATCTCCTCCCCGCAATCTGTGCCCCTTTGGCTGCCCTGCACAGTGGCACTAGTCAGTGGCAGGGCTGGGGTTGAGGTAGAGGCCTGAGGCCTTCAATGGTTTCAGCGGCTGCTACCACTTGCAGACATCTACTCTGTCCAAAATTTGCACACAAGTTTGAGAGGGGCCTGTGCTGGGCTTCCCAGGGCCTCCTCCAATCTCCTGAGATACCTTCCTGCACCTTACCTGGTGATGTGTAATGTCCTGCAATTTTGCTTAATGATGACAGCCTGGAGTATTGTGATTGCTAAGGGATGTAAATACATGGCATCTTGCTTTATGACCACTTTGGTTAGCAACCAAAATTCTAGTCCCAATTGCGGTTGTAAATCGAAGACTACTTGTAATAATTTGTAAAGCAGATGATAGGAGATATTCACACATTCCATGTAACCGAATAAGTGGAAAAAAACTACACCAGTGGAAAATTAGGTTGCAATACTTTTAAACTACTGTTTTAATTGCTACTGAATTTTCTGCATTTCTGCAAACAGTATGGTTCTTTAACCTGTGATCTGTTGTCTTTTTCAGCAAAGAATCACCATTTGGCCCAGGATTTTATACATTCAGATGGATGGATGGGTGGATGAGATAGATGTAAGATTTACATGAAATTTAATAAACATTAATATTTAAACAATCTTCAAAAGAAAAAAATCATGTAAACAGTATGTGATAGTAAATAAAGACTGAAATATTAATTCTGCTATTTCATCTTACCTTACCTTTTTAAGGTAAGATAAGTGGTAGAATATGTGGTCAGTGAAGTGATTCCCCCTCTGGTTTCTCAATACCTAGTGTTTCTGATACCAAATTACTGTTTTGTATATGGAAATTGACCTGTTTGTCACTTTAAGAATGCAAGATAGCCCTGCTGATGAAAATGATGGCATATAATGCAATGGAACCTAAACAGGTATATGAACTTTGGATATTGCAGATACAGGTGGCCCTTACCTATTTACCACAAGCCGACAAGCGCCACTCCCCTCAACCTCCTTTCCGAGTTGGTGACAAGGTGTACCTGTCAACGAAGTTCTTGAGGTTGAGATTGCCAAGTAGAAAGCGAGGACCTAAATTTTGGGGGCAATTTCCAATCGTGAAAGTAATAAACCCTGTAACTGTTCAGCTTAGCCTTCCATGCTTGCTAGGGAGTGCTAGAAACTGGTTTTTCATAGCAGCTGGTTAAAGTCGGTGGTAGGCTCCCAGCTAAGGCCAGTTGACTGGGCAGCCCCAAAGCCTATGGTAGTGCAGGGAGAGACCCAGTATGAGGTGAACATTTTTTTGAATTCATGCCTGCATTGGGATCGACTACAGTACTTAGTCCATTGGTAAGGCTACCCTGTCTTGAGGCCAGCTGGGTTAAGAGTTGGGATGTCAAAGCAGACAGATTAGTCAAGCAGTTTCATGATAAGTACCCAGGGAAACCTAAAGAGCTACCTGGAGGAGGTCGGGGAGACTGAGTGGGATCAGTTTAATTCTCTATAGTCTTTCTTTCCTTTTTCAGGACGTCCTTTTCACGTGAGGAGGGGCAGCCTGTCAACCCTGGAGCCATCTTTGAGCATCTTCAGGGTTGCCACAGCAAGGTTGACTGGAGCTGTGGAAAAGGGAGGGGGGAGTAGAGATAGCTGACGGGAATATGTAGCCAAAATAACATTCTTTCTCCTGGGAACCAAGGACACTCTCACCAGTACCTGGAGGGGTGTGGATGGGAGGCGTCCAGGATGGGGAGAGAGACCCGATTGGGGCATATGATGGTTGGGTGTAATGTGGGGAAGAACTTTGGATTTTGAACTGGGTGGGGAAAACCCGGGGGACTTCAGATTCAGGTTTTCACCAGCTGTACCAAGATGACATGCCTAATAAATCTATACTTTGAGGAATCCTGCCTTGTAGTTTTGATTTCCTATGGACTGTTACTTGGAACCCTGACACAGGGGACATTTGTATTCACAATGATTCATCCTCTATGTGCGACTGTCTGAGAGGAAGGCATCAGAAGTTCCAGGAATTTATTTTAACTGTGGCAATTAATTGTGCTGACAAGATGTAATATAAGGACAGAACATCTGCCTGCCAGGTTTTCCTTTGTCCACCACCATCTTGTCAACCCACTTACTTTTATGATTCTGAACAACTGCTCTATGGTGGGTTGCTCCAGAAGTTCCTTCAGCCTGTGCTTAATATTTTTGAATCTCACATTTAACTACCTGAACATTTTAAAGAGGAATAAAGCAATATGGAGTTCTACCTATTGAGATAAGATCCTTCCCGTTGAAGTAGACTTGTGTATATGAGAGAAGATGAAGCTATACTTACTGTATCTCCCTCCTAGCATTCTCCTGTATGGAGATCATGGCTGAAGATGAAATGCAAATTACCATTCAAGGGAACAGAAACAAAATCTACAGGTATTCCTCCCAAGGGATACCTGCCAGACAGTATATGAGCTTAGTAACACCAGATATATGAATAAGTGAACTTTTGGGCTTTGTAAACTAACAATATGTTAAGATGTTGACAGTTTCCCTAGAGAACTGATATGAAAACAATATACTTTTGAAATCTGTTTTTATTTTAACATGTGAGCCTCTACTTATATATTTAGAAATGCCTTTGTTTGGCAAAATACCAATAAACTTTCCATGAACAAAGTAAATCTTAATCTGAATAGTCACTGCATCCTTGTAACTTCTCAACATTAAGCAGAATGGATTTTTTACCAACAGTTTTTGGTAAATTGTAGCACATATTTCATAATTTGGGATATGTCTCTTATAGATAAATGGTAATATTGGAATATATTATTCAATATTCTTGCAGTGCAATTATTAACATGGTGTTGTTTTATGGCTTTTCAGTTATAAGAATTACAGGAAAGGACGTTCCAAATAAAACAGAAGACCCTTTATTGGCACATTTCAATGAGGGAATTTAATGGTAGTTACCAGAGATGGCCCTAAAGCAACTGCAGGAAAGATTATGAGGTGTTTTTTTTATATCTAACTGCAAGGAAGAAGATGAAGCAGAATTCCAGAAAAATCAGGAAAGGAGTCCATTTTTCTTCAGACATGGAAACACTTGGAGTTTTATGATTTCTTGTAAGAATACATGCTCAGACTTTTGAAGTTTGTTCAAAACCCATTTCCTAAGCTTAATAAAATATGTTTATCTGTTACTGTTCATCTAGAAGATATTATTATGGTGGACTAGGCTGAAGTTTTTCTTGTAGAAAGCCTGTGGGAAATAAAAGAACACCAGGAAATGATTTTAAAAAATGCTTGCTAAATTAAAATATAAGAAAGTTTAATATATGCATGTTTGTGTTTGAATACATAGAGGAAGGAGCTTGTTTTTTTTAAAAATGCATTTTATCTATCCATGCCAGATGCTATAATTAAATGTTATAATGCTAATACATAACACCTCTGGGAGTAGCCCTATACTACATGAATCAAATATATAATATATAATACCAAAGAAATTAATGGCTGCAGCTTTAGATAGAGATGTCTATTGTGGCTATAAGTAAAAACTTATTTAGTCAGAATTACACAGTATACTGAGAAAAAATCTACCCAATTTTTATAGTTATAGTCTTTCTGTAAACGTCTGCTGTATAGATTATATCAATCATAGTGCAGTCCTACAAAACACTTACTATCTCAGTGATAAATATAATAATACCAATTTTAATAATTTCTATAGCTGTATATATAATGAACTGAAAAACAACTTTGTTGTATTAATGCATATAGCAAATAGATTCCAAGAAATTTAGATTCAAAACTTACATGGCTTTTATAAGCTAAGCAAATGTGGTTAATTCATCACCAAAAGTTCAATCTCAGGGTTTCAAAGGTTTACTAAAAAAAACAAAACAAAAACCAGAAAGAAAACAAAAAGGCCAACTAATAATAAAAATCCAGTGACCAAATAATATAAATGGGACTTTATGGATCTTTTAATATGATGGTCATGTAAGTTTACATTCCAAAAACTGATGTAGAAGAGAATGAATTTTATGGCCATGTTCAATAGGAATTTCTCAGAGTTTACAAGAAAGATGTGCTATTTGAGGTTGAAGACTGGAATGCCAAAACTGGAAATAATGAAGAAAACATAGCCTGGATAATATGGCCTAGGAGATGTAGCAGGAAGATGATTTAGTTTCTGATGATCCAATGATATCTTTATTCCTAGCACCTAACAAACAACCAAGATTATGCTGAAAAACAAATATATGAGCAAATGTAGTACATAGAAATTAAACTACGTCAGTCAGATCTGTACTATTTTGTAGGCCTGCATAAGGTACAAACAAGAAGAATTACACTTGTTTTTAATAGTAACACTAGAATTATGAGAGGTAAAGGATAACAAAACTTGGGTTGCTAACACAGTACTAAAATTTTAAAATAAATAAAACAAAATGAATAAAAAACAACAACTTGTGCTACATTAACTATTCTGATGCTGAATATGCAAATGATCTGCAAGCTCTAGTAATGTAAGTCAAGAATTAAACAACTAGAAAGCCAAACTTATGACAATTGGTTGCAGAAACCAGACAATGAAGATATTAAAGTGGGAAATAGCTTCTGCTTTTAGGGACTATCAACAATAAAAGATTCAGTAATCAAGAAATATGCCACAAGCTAGCATTTGGTAGATGGGAGGGGGTTCTTTTGCAAAATGGTATAGATAACCAAGAAAAAAACTGTTATCTTCCCTCCATTTCCAGAGAGGTTTTTATTGTATACAGTTTAACAAACTTGTTTATTTTCCTAAATTCTACCTTTAGCCCTTATAACTAAACATATGTTATACTATACTTATGTCTATGACTGTGTGTAGACCCAGATTGCTGTAGTGGGTAAGGTATCAGGGTACAAACTAGAAATGATTTCTAATCCCACTCTGGCCAGTCACTTTCTTTCAGCCCTAGGAATAAGTCAAGGACAAACCACTTCCAAAAAACCTTTTAAGAAAACTGCAGGGACTTATCCAGGCAATCAGACATTATTGATAAGAAGAAAAGATATATCTTATTCCTAAAGAGTCCTATAACAATTCTAAAACATAATTGTTTTAAGACTGTTTAGGAATAAGATAACAGAACTGTAAAAGACAGACTAAGAATACAAAGTAAAATAGGCATGAAAATGATAAGAGAATATTTGTCCACTTGAACTTTTCTAAAGTTCAAATTACCAAATCCTGATGGATTATATCCCAGAGTTCTGAAGTAGCTGGCAGACATGTTCTCGGAACCTTTGAACCATATCTTTCAAAGAGCCTGGAGCACTGGAGAACTGCCAGAGGACTGGAAAAGAGCTGATATGCTCCCCATCTTCAAAAAAAGGGGGGAAAACAGATACAGAAAACCACAGACCAATCAGCCTGACATCATTATCTGAGAAGTTCCTGGAAACGATAATCAAGCCATAGATCTGCGAACATCTAGAAACAAGTAGAAACCAACATGGGTTTGTCAAAAACAGATGCCAAACAAATCTTATTTCATTCTTTGACAAAGTGACTAAATTAGTGGATCAGCGAAATGCTGTGAACATAATATATTTGGATTTCAATAAGGCATTTGACAAAGTAGACCACAACCTACTTCTTGATAAGATAGAAAAATGTGGGTTAGACAGCATCACCACCAGATGGATTTGTAACTGGTTGACAAGCCACACTCAATGTGTACTCCTCAATGGAACTGCATCTAAATGGAGGGAAGTGGGATACCCCCAAGGCTCTATTTTATGCCCAGTACTCTTCAGCATCTTCATCCAACGTTTTGGATGAGGAGATAAATGGGGAACTCATCAAATTTGCAGACAAGAAAAGCTGGCAGGAATAGCCAACATCCCAGAAGATAAGCTCAAGATCCAGATGGATCCCGACTGGCTTGAACACTGGACTCTATCTAACAAAATGAAATTTAATGGAGAAAAAAGTAAGGTTTTGCACTTAGGCAAGAAAAACTAAATGTACTGATACAAATTACCATATTTTTCAGAGTATAAAATGCACCTTTTTACCCCCCAAAAGGGGGTGAAAATTTAGGTGCGTCTTTTACACCGAATATAGCCCTGCCCACCCACTGGCCCCTACCCTTGCAGCAGTTACCTCCTTGCAAGCAAACAGCAAGAAAAAACATCTCCTTTCAGCTTCAGCATAGACTAATTAGCACAAGTTGATTAGATCGGCCTCCTGACTTTCAGCTGATTTGCTCTCAGCTGTTTTGTGCAGGGTTCTGCTGCTTGCTGCAAGGAGGTAAATTGCTGGAGCAGAATTTTTTCCCCTTTCAAGCTACGCTGAAAACAAAACTGAAAGTAAAGCAGGCTGTTTGATGTTTGCTGCAGCGAGGCAAAATTAGGCAGAGACTTTAAAAAAAAAAAAAAGCCAAAAAAGGTAGGTGCGTCTTATACTCCGGTGCATCTTATACTCTGAAAAATACGGTAGATGAAACTTGGCTCAATAGCAGTAACTGCAAGAGGGATCTTGGAGTGCTAGTGGACAATCACTTAAATATGAGCCAGCAGTGTGCTGCAGCTGCCAAAAAAGCCAATGCAGTCCTAGACTGCATTAACAGAGGGACAGAATGAAGACCACACAAAGTGTTAGAACCACTTTATAATGCCTTCATAAGACCACACTTGGAAAACGGCACCCAGTTTTCATCATCACAATATAAAAAGAGATGTTGAAACTCTGGAAAGAGCGCAGAGAAGAGCAACAAAGATGATTGGGTGGCTGGAGGCTAAAACATATGAAGAACAGTTGCAGGAATTGAGTATGTTTAGTCTAGTGAAAAAAAGGACTAGGGGTGGGATGACAGCAGTGTTCCAATATTTGAGGGGCATCCACAAAGAAGAAGGGGTAAACCTATTTTCCAAAGCACCAGAAGGCAAGACAAGAAGCAATGGATGGAAACTAAGCAAAGAGAGATCCTACCTAGAACTAAGGAGAAATTTCCTGACAGTGAGAACAATTAACCAGTGGAACTGCTTGCCTTCAGAAGATGTGGGCACTCCATCAATAGAGGCTTTTAAGAAGAGACTGAACAGCCATTAGTCTGAAATGTAACAGTCTCCTGCTTGAGCAGAGGGTGGGACTAGAAGGCTTTCAAGATCCCTTCCAACTCTGTTAATTCTGTCAATTCTGTTCTCCTTTGTTGCCTAAACTTATAACAAAGTCATTAGTTACAAGATAGTTAACTTCTACTGCTTTCAGCTGCTGTTCTGAACTACTGCTAAAGCATTGATTTGGTAATTTCTCAGCCTAAATAGTGGTGCAACCTGGAAGTCTCACTTATAATCCAGAATGCCACAACTATAAAGCTCTATTTCAGGTAGCCATTCATTTTATAGCAGAAGACGAATTGGAAGCCAAAACTGCATTGTTTTAACAGTTAAGGTCAGAACTCTAGGAAAAAATAGACAATCAGTTTATGTAGTAGAAAATCATTGTTAAGGAGAATCAATTGACTAGTGTCAGAACCAATTGTAACTACCATATCAAAAATAGCCTCAGTGTACATTAAGCAATCTAATCTGGAGGATATCTACTGATATCAGCAAGAAAATATGGGAAACCGACATTTTCAGACTCCTGAATTTGCCTAGAAAGAAAATATATCCATCAATCTATTGAAATATAAATATAACAGTTACTATTTCTTTTTCCTTTGTAGACTCTACAGAATCACTTCAGCAATGAGATGGATGGCATATAAAATTTAATAAGTAAATATGCTATTTCTCCCTCCAGCTGGCTTTCAAAATACAGCAAAAAAAAATAATCTACAGTTAATAACACTAAACAATAAATATGCATGCTTTTTTTTTTTAAATGATTGTTCTTGGGATCAATAAATTTTAGAGCACAAAATTAAAAGTATTAAATAAAATATTAAAAATCTAAATACTTCGTACTCAGAGCCAAAATTAGCACATCATGTACTGAATCTGATGATATCATAATGTTTGTTTTAATCTGGTGGATGAGCATCTGCTACTTATTTACAATCCTTTCAAATGGCACAATGATGCAGGAATGAGACAGCCTGGGGATGATGGATATAAAAATGTATTATAGAACTGTAAGATGCAGAATAAATAAGAAATGCACTCCCCCTCCAAATGAATGTACAGTCAGTTTATAAATGTGAAGATAGAAGCATATCATAGAATGGATCTCTAGTCGTATGGCACATGACTTCTAGCACCATCTTATCAGACATTACTTACCGGTATATCTTTCTATAAGGGAGGCTCTGCCTCAGTGAAAGCTATTTGGAAGTTGTATGAATACTGAGATTAAATCATGGATTAGTTAATTTATAGAAGAAAAATTATTGTTATCTCTCTTGCATTCTTGAAAGTTCCCCAACAGCTGCCAGGAAAGGAGGATCTGTGAAATCTGGCAGACTTACATCCTGTATTGAACAATCTTCCCCTCCTATCACATGTCCTTGAATTGCATCCTATAATGTCCAGAAAGGAGAAATGACTTTAAGAATCAAATTAATTTTGTAATCTTGCTTTCTATTAATCCTCTTAATTTATTAGTTCTGTGTTCATACAAAAATGTTAAGTTAGGACATTCAAACCATAGCTTGCTGGATACATTATAGTAGATTGATTCACAAATTACACTAAGTAAAAATAAAAACTGTATGGCTCACTGTGATGTGTCAGTGAGTTCACATTTAGCTACTGTACATACTATATTCCTAGGGCATGCTCTAGACATTTTGCCCTGTAGACAAAGTCATAGTCTGGTGCTCCCTATGGTTTGGTTTCTTTCCTGATTTTGTTAGAAATTTAAAAAAAAAAAGTCCCTCTTGTTGTTGGGTTGTTTTTTTTTAAGCTTTACATTTATGATTTTCATTCCTGGACCATTCTTCTTTTCTTGGATATTTTCACTCTATTTCTACTGAAAAATTATATTTAACCTTCAAGGTGGTATACTGGATCACAGAGAGTGACATTTTTAATTGTGTTTTCTAAAGTATTTTAAATTTGGCACTTCTTAAAATTTGACACCCCTAAGCTGGTGCCTTCTAACTTTTAGCCTAATGTCAGCTCAGTGTATTCCCAATTTCTGATTTGGACAGTTCAGAAATAAGCACATAGCTTGAACTTCTCTCCTCCAGTTGCTCCCTTATTTTTGTCATACTGTATTTAGAAGATTTCCTAAGAACACAAATTGCAAATATCCAAACTGGCAAAGTTTTTTTTTTTTTTTAACTTGCAAAATTAAGTGTCTGGCATGTTGGAGTGAAAGGGGCCAACTTTTTTGAGCACTTTTGGCATTTAAACAATAAATTGGGTGCCTTTAGGTTTCCCTGAGTATCATAAGTTTAATTCTGCAAAATGGATGTTTGTGGACCCAAAAGTATGATTAAGCTGGGTATAGTCTGGTATTTTCATTTTATAAGAGCTTCTTATTTGAATAACCTTACTAAATTTTCCTCCCAAATTAAATGGCATTGCTGCAACTGCTGAAAAATCAAGTACAGTACTCAATCAATTTGTAACCAAGTTGCAAATATAAATAATAGACTCAGGATACCACTTATTCATTTCTAGGATAATAATCTTATTTCATTAAGTAGGATTTGATAGTGTTTTATGCCTCTTTCTAAAAATGCCCAAGCAGTTCTGTTTTCTTACGTACACATTGCCTGCATAATACGGGTAATCCCCAGGTTACAAACGTTCTCTTAGCGAATGTTCAAAGTTATGCATGTCCCCTAGTGTTTCCGAACAACGCCTGAAACTAAGAATCTTGCAGCACCACGGCAATTGTTTGCCCTTATGAACAACTTCAGAGGCTCTGCAACATTCATCCTGCATGTTGCCAGCTGAAATGGAGCTTCTGAGGGGTAGATTTCCCCTGGAGGCTCCATTTCAGCCTGCAATGGGCCTGGGGAGACCCGCAGAGGGCTGAATGGTGCTTCGGAGGGTTGGATCCAGCCCCTGGAGACTCGGATCCGGCACCCAGGGGCTCTGTTTGGCCTGCAATGGGCCAGGGGAGGCCTGCGGAGGCCCAAACAGGATGCATGAGGCTGGAGAGGAGATTGCTTTCTAGATCTTCACAAGGTAAGTGACCTGGCGTGGCAGATTGGGGGGACAAGCAATTTGGGCTGGCATGTGGTATTTCAGTGGGTCGAGAAGGCCTTGGATAGTCTTAAGAAGGTGGTCTGTTCCATTGGTAGGCCCACCATGGCCTTCCCAACCCTGAAATACCTTGCATTCGATTAGCAAATGCATGGGTGAAAGGAGGGAGTGATCTCGTTCAAGGTACGAGATTCAATCCCACAAATCCTCGGATTACAAATGGAATGGACAGGCTCCATTAAATTCATAACTCTAGAACTACCTGTATACATTACAGTAGTTATGAAATTCATTTAACATCAGTGGTGGGTTGCTACCGGTTCGCCCTGGATTGGGTGAACCAGTAGCGGCAGTGGTGGGAGGCTCCACTCACCCGCCCAGATGTCTCTGCACATGCGCAGAAGCATCATGCGTGCGCGCGAGAGAGTGCATGCCCATGAGTGACGGGATTTGAATCCCACTACTGTTTAACATACAATGACATTTGAAGAGAAGATGGTGGACCCTATTGCAGAAAGAATAATGTCTAAATGATTGTTTGTTGTCCCGCAGCTGCCCAATTAGCCAGTCAGGATTAGGAAACCTCCTGAAAATTATTCTATGATTGGAAACCTGTGGTTGCATTGGAGCACACATAGTGCCACACTGACATATAGGTGGAGTGAAGGGTCCCTCATGCAGAGTGACTTATGTTTTTATACTGAACATCACCAACTGCAGTATAGTTATCCTGGTTTACATTGCCAAATCAGGCAAGTGCAAAAAGCAGAAGTTTCTACCACTGATTTTTAGGTTTCAAGGTTTCCTCCAAATGCTATGAATTGTTCATTTTCAGCTTCTCACAAGGTCAAAATGAGTGAGGATTTACCATTCTCTTGGGTTTTCCTGCTCACAATTAATGTAACTTGCATCATCTTTGAATTTTCCAAGAGCCAAGAGCCACAAGATTGCTCTGGCTTTCTATCTCTAGGAAACTCCTCTTAGAACTACCTGGCCTCCAAAGGAAACAATTCTGGGCCATGTTATAGAGAAGGAAGAGAAGTACCCAGATCAAGTGTGTGTCTCTGGGGGTGTATCTACCCTGAATTTAATTATAAAGACCATACCTGGAGCCAAATCCAAATCCAAATTATAAAGACCATACCTGGAGCCTAGAGCCAAATCATATCTCAGTTGGCAGGCTGGATCAAATTGCTTTTGACTGCCCAAATTCCCAGATTTTGTTTTAAATACAAAAGCTGAGAATGTAGTGTCTTACTGTCTTAAGTACCAGAATTTGTGAAAGAACAGAGCCAAGTACTTAACAACATTGTGTACAGTATCAGAAAGCAATCTGGCTCCTGCTTTTTACATTAGATACAACTCGAATTCTCTTCAAGATGATTCCCTTGTTCAGGGAGTATCCACCACAGCTTCACTTTATTAATTTTATCCTCTTTCTACTTAATTCACACCTTCAGGCAGAGATCCCTGTCAAAGTGCAGCAACTCATGCAAATAAGTGTGAAATCCTGGATATTGTTCTGAATGAATATTCTCTAATAATTTGCCCAGGTTGAATAAGTAGCAAATTCCTTCTGACAACAGAAAAATTCATTAACTAAAGCTCTTCACAATAATAATTTAATCTGTTTAACACTGGAATCAATGTGAAATTTAATCCTTTTTGGACACCAATGCACAGGTACATCTACGAAATCTGAGATATATTAGAGTTATATTCCCAGGGTTCCTATTCAGAGTCATATAGAAGTATGCTAACATATTTGAACAAAACCCTGCTTCTCAGAATAAATATAATACTCAAGCCAGTTAGTATATCTCTTTAAAAAAAAAAAAATCCCTCTCAGAAAATGAGATTTTCTGTATGGGATGATTTCTTAAGGTTTGGAGTACAAATTTGGAGTTTAAACAGGGGGACAGCACCGATTATTTTAAAAAGAAATCTGTGCTGCTGTTTCTTGTAACAAAAAGTGCAGATATGCCTTTCATTAAAAGTATAAGGCCATTTCAAAGTCACAATGATTATCAGGGAGGCCAAAGGACCATTGTGACATCACGCCCGCCAGCAGCTTAACTTCTCAGCAACTCAGGTCTTATGTCAAATTGGCAGCAGTGCTCAGGCGAGAAGACATTTCTCTCCTAGCTTGTTGGTCTCTGAGCTGAAGGAAAGGAAAGAAAAGGGAAAATCATGTAAGTAAGATTTCACGTCAAAGTCTTCATTCTCCAGGAGGGCTCTTTGCCAATCCAGTGCAGGAAGGGGTATCTTTAATACACTTTTTCTCTTCAGTTTTGAGAGAACTTTGCCAGTCAGCTGAGAATGAAAGGAGGCTCATAATTAAATCTGAGTGGACAGTTGGTGGAAATTATTTTCCCTATCATTCGTAGAGAAGCCACCCTTCTGAACACAATTTGGTCCCCTTCATAATTATGCAGCCACATAGTTGTCCCAAGTGAAGGTAGTGGCGGGGTGGAGAATACAGCAGTACATACTTAGATGCTTCTCTGTTGTGAGCCTGCCCTCTTGAACAACATTGCTCCAGAAATTAGTATGGCCTTACAGATCTGTAAGGATGCCTCTTAGTCTGGTTCTGCCCCAGACCTTGGCTCAGTGTGTGTTCAGGCCTTTAAAGTGGAGAATGGGATGAATTGTCTTCCTGATTTGCTCTCTCTGGGTAACTGTTGTTCTTTTGTTATGATATTTTTTCTCTCTGTTTTTAATTTTGAAGCAACCCGGGGTATTTCTGCAGTCAGAATTTTATCTATAGTCTTCTCACTTTTGCTCCAGTTTCCTTCTATATATTTTACACATTTGCCTCCTTGTAAGACAAGAGGAAGATAAGAGCTCATTATATTGATTCAAATCTCCTTGGCCTAATTCAACAATTACAATGTACTGGAAATGTTGAGGGTTATAGGTTTGGTGAGTACTGGAGCTGCCAAAGCCACAGTCAAAATGACTACTGTGACATCAGTAGCTTAGTCTCTCAGATCAGAGGTAAAATTGGCAGCAGTGGTCAGGAAAGAAGATAGAACTTTGTTTGGGTTTTAAGTTGAAAGAAAGATAGGAAAGGGATAATCATGTAAGACTTCATAGCAATCTTCATTCTTTAAGACAGTCTGAGATGGCTCTCTGCCAATCCACTCCAGAAAGGGATACCTTTAATACCCTTTAACTTTTCTTCTCAATTCAGTAGTTCTGGAAATAATTGGGACTGAAAGAAGGCTCATAATCTAAACAGAGAGGAAAGAAGGTAGAAATTACAGGGCTCTCTTTTGCTATTCTCCCCAATGAAATGACCCTACTGCATACACTGGCCTACTCATCCTGAATATCTCTTCTATCCAGGGGTGAAATCTAAAATTTTTCCCTACCGGTTCTGTGGGCATGGCTTGGTGGGAGGGTGTGTCCTGTGACTGAGTGGGCATGGCCAACTCAAAGTCATTCAGCCACGTCCACTCAGTCACAATGCCCCCTCCCACCAAGCCATGCCCACAGAACCTGATAGGAAATCTTTTTAAATTTCTATTCTGCTGGCATGTCCTTACCTTTCTCCCGTGACTCCGCCCACCTGCCTCATTCCCCGGAGTCGGGGAATGCACCATTCCCCAACTCCTACTGCCCACCTTTCTCCCGCAGCTGGCTGTCAGGGAAGGCAAGTGCCCGAAAGGTACCAGAGTCGCTCACTCTCCTTCTTGAATGAGCCGTCTAGTCCACGCTCCGGCTGCGCAAGCGCACCCTGTTTATTTAATTCAGTGGTAGGTTGATGTGTGCTTGTGTAGCCGGCGCATGGACCAGAGTGGCTCATTCAAGAAGGAGAGTGAGCAACTCCAGTACCTTTTGGGTGCTTGCCTTCCCTGATAGTCAGCCGCGGGAGAAAGGTGGGCAGTAGGAGTCGGGGAATGCACCATTCCCCGACTCCTACTGCTCACCTGGGGTGGGTGGGTGGGTGGGCGGAGCCTCCAGCTTCCATTGCTACTGGTTCTCCGAACCATCGGCCATCATCGCTACCTATTCGCCCGAGCCGGTCCGAACCGGGAGTATTTCACGCCTGCTTCTATCCCATCATAACTATGCATCCTCACAGTGTGCCAAAAATGTAGATCACCTGAATTAGTTCTCCAGACTTGCCCATTTCCTGGCAGTCTTTGGGGAGAATTTGTTTTTCATCAAGATGCTTCACTTTATACAAGAATAATTTATCCACAGTCAGGAAAGGGGAAACATAATAGAACATTTCCCACAAGAAGCTCTTTTGTCTCCCTTATGGTTGCTATCTTCTATCTGTTCCTGCACAAGGGAAATCTCTGCAAATAATTTCTCTCATCTTTTTCTCTCTGTTGTAGGCTATCCAAAATAATACAATTCTTTCTTAAAAAGAATAACAAAGTTGTCCCAGAAGGACTGCTGAAGAAAAGGCCCTGCATTCTCCTCATCCTCCAGAAGAGCAACAGAATCCAACCTATGCAGACTCTTGGAAATTCCTCCAAGAAGTACCTTCTGGGTTTTGCCTGAAGGCTGGGATGCTTCTGACCTCAGTACAGAGAAAGTCCAAGAGGGGCAGGATCTCCTCCAAACTGAGACATCATCGCTATTAGAAATGGGACATCATTGCTGTGGCATCATCGCTATTGAAAATGGTGGTAAAAAGCCTAGAAGATGATAGAATGCAGGAGAGACCAAGGTTATAATGGGGAGGAGTTGTTAAAAAGGAGCAGAAATCTCTAATATATGATTCTAATCTTCAAGAGAAATGAATCTTTTGTCACCTGAATAAGTATTTCAACCATCTAAGCAGGTCTCATTTTTCTGGATCCTGCAATGGGTGGACCATAAATTTCACCCTCTTTCTGCTTGATGTATTGTGAGGTGGGGGTTGTGATGCCCATAAGTTTACTGTCTTAATTTCAGATTCCCAGGCTTCCAATTCTGTTTTGAGGATGCAAGGGAAAATATGGCACTGCTTAAGATAAGCAACCATTTCCCCTTCCTTCTTACTTTTCCCAAAGAAAATCAAACTGTTGGCTCAGCCATCAAGCACTGAGATGCAAGAATGTACATCCCAGTTCACAAAACTTTTTAGAGAGGGGCTTAATTCCTCCCCACTTTTAGGTTCCCTTAATTTTTAAAAAAAATTTCTGAGAAGCAAAATTCCCCTCATTGATTCTGATACATCCTGAGAGCACTAGTCTCTTTTCCTCTACCACATGAATAAAAAAAAAAAGGAGAAAAAAGAGAGAAGTTTAAAAAAGTGTTTTCCCTGGACACAAAGTTGCCTACCCTTCCATGGGGCAAAATTGGCTATGTCTACAGGCGTCAAAGCAGGTTCTTTACGAACTGAAATACTAATACACACCCATAAAACCATACCCTAAATAAGGGAAGGTGGCATAGAAACTATGAGGATAGCAGGATTTCCACTGTCATAGGGAAATTAATGATGGAATCTACTTTCTCTTCCATCAGATCATACAGTACTGGAGGATCTAAAAAATCTGGAGCTGTTGACCTCTGGAGAAGAAATGGCAAAGTGAAGATGGCTCCACTAAAAGTAGAGCTGATGACCATAGTAGAATGAAGAGCTGGCAAGTAGAGCAGCTTTGTCATTCCTCTCTGGACAAGGAAAAGACTTGAGATCGCCACAGTGCTTCATACAGTTGCTCCTTGCAAGAAGACCACAAGTCAGCAGTCTTCAGTGGGTTTAGAATTCTCAGTCACAAGGGAATAACTTATCTTTTTACTCAAATTGTAGTAGGTGCCTTCAAAAGGACACTGGGTTTACATATTTTCTTTTGTAATCAATTTTAGCATTTTGTAATCAATATTATTCTATTCTATATTATATTGAAGATTAAATATTTAAGAGCGTTTGAACAAAATCAGCATGTGTGAGTATACTGAGATACAGCTAAGCCAATGCAGGCCTTCTCATACTTCTTATCTTTGTGAAATTCTTTCAAGAACTAACTAATCTCCAGTTTGAAAGGAATTTGGACAATAATATAGAATAGAGATGGACAAAGATGAAGATTTGTGGGTGACAAATCTAGTTTGGCTTTAAATACAAAGTCCCTAGCCTGCCAAGTAGAGTTATGTATTCAGGAATGTTTCAGGAATCACACACTGAAACTGTCTTTGAGCAGTTGCTGAGAATTGTTTGCTCTAAATCCAGGATCTCAGTCTCTTCACATAAACAGCCATTCCTCATTTTCCTCAAGATTTCCTTTTGCACAGACTCTGGTGCCTTTTATTTAGCTCTTCGCATCAAGATACCGACAACACATTGGAGACCCTGGAGGATAGTACAGGACAACCTGTGTGAGCCAGATCTATTGAATCTTGGCCATTTGATCATTCAAGAAGTAATATATGTTTATGCATTTGGTCCATCCTTTTCTGACCTAAGGCATATAAGTTAGCACATCAAGAAAAACATGGGACAAGAAATTTTATATTCCCATGGCTGGAATGCTATTAATTGGAATTCTTTTGTGAGCACATTTTATAGCCATAGTAACATTTATGGCCATACTGGAGATATGCCAAGATTACAGTTCTCAAGTTATGATGGCAATTGGAATTGCCATTGATAAATGATGTAGTCATAAAGCATAACATTGTATGACTGCATTACTTAGTGACAGCAATTCCACCACTTGCTTGCTGTCACTAAGGGAGGGCATTCTGTGACTTCAGCTTCCAATTTCCTCTCATCTTTCCCATTGATGTTGCTTGTGGGAAAAGGGCAGGGAATGTCAAAAAACATAATGTGACCACAAGGATGCTGTGATAGCCAGGATTCCAAGAACCAATTGTAAGTCGTCCTTGTTTGCAAGTCACTGAACAAGTGGTTGAATGATGCATTGCTTAAAGAGAGAGGAAGAGAGGAAAGCTGCCAGGAAGATGAAAATCTCATGATTACACCAGCCTTATCTAGGGAAGAGAAGGAAGGCTGAGGTGACTGAATTTAGTTCCTTTTTCTTCTCAATACCTTCCTGAGACATTAGAACCTTTTCAGAAGGATTCTATGGGTTCCAGTGGATAATCAGAACATGCTACCAAGAAACGGACACACTCCTGAGGAAAAGTACAGCTTCTCCAATCTTACTAGCAATTGCTGGAAGGTGCTGCTGCTAGTTGAATGTATAGCACTTTGCTAATCTACTGCTGAAAGCCTAGCAGAGAAGGAAAGAAATCCCACAAACAAAATGTCAGGGTTCCAAGTAACACCCCCAACGACATCAAACTGAGGCTTGAAGTTCCTCAAAGCTAACTTTTATTAGAGATGTCATATTGACACATCTGGGAAAACCCAAATCTGAGAGCTTCCGGGTTTTCCTCACCCAAGAGAAAGTTCAAGTCCTTGCCCCTCACCCACTTGTCCATCACACGAACCAATCAGGTACCCTCTGGAACAGAAGATCTCTCCTCACTCTTCTCAGCAGAGCTGCAGGGCACAATGGCCTTGACTTCCTAAAAGAATTCTATTTTGACTACATATCTTATTCACTCTATACTATCCCCCCTCTCATTTTCCCACAGTAGAATTTGTGGCAGGCCTGAAGCCTGAAGGTACAAAAGTAGAAAGATGGCTTCCAGATCTGACACAAAAGCTGTTAAAAAATGGGGAGTCTAAGAAAATGTGGTAATGTCATGGACTGGCAGCTGAATTATCTGGACAACCCAAGTAGCCAGATGATGTGAATCTGCATCATCTGAGGTGAGAGTGAAGGGAAAGAAGACAAACCATTAGGAGGAAAAACAAGGAAAGGAAAGAAGATGAAGAAAGTGGACAGAAGAACAGAGTGCAAAGCAGTCTCAAAAAGGCACTGTGAGGAATTGCAACAGCCCTTCAAAGATCCAACCCAAGAGCCAGCTCTGGGAAGCGAGTCACCTGTCTGCTAACCAATGTGGGGATCCATAGTTTTCTCATTTCCTGATGCTGAATAACTTTTTCCCCAATTCATAATTCACATATCACATCCTGAATGGGGAAATAAAAAAAAACACATTCAGGGTTTAAATCTATCTTGATACAACTGATTTCACATGAAGTATATGTGGTTCCATCTTACATGCTTTTCTTCGTTCCCCTGTCTTTGTTACTTAGAGTTTATAATTTATTCAGCATCATACAGTATGTCTATATGGAGGAAGTTGTCCAATATTGGCCACTGTTGTGCGTTAGTCTTTGCTTCCTTCAAGAACCAAACATGGGCAATTTTCAGCTGACCAGAAAAGTGTTCATGCTTATCTGTAAGTGACTTTGATTGCTTATAGAAATGAGCTATTTTATCTATCGCCATGACAGACATGGTTAGGTAAGGTTATGCAGGACACACCATAAGAAACAGTCATATGTAAATCTGGAATTACTGAAGGACTAAGTGATAGAAAATAACAAAAGAGTCAGAATGAAGAAGCAATCCAGAACTGGGGTACAAATTCAGAAACAGGATTAAAGAAGAATCAAGCACATCTGTGTTGAGGAAGGTGTAATATTCAAGCAATATGAAACAGGAATTCAAGACATTTTATTTATTATAACATAATCCAGGGTTAGTCTGCCTGTCCATGCACTGCACATTTAAGGTGCACTGCATGGAATAAATGCATATGGATCTAGAATTTTTAACAATGTAAGAGTTTCAAATTACCTTCCATAGAGCATCAAAAATGGCAGTTCTCATTCAAAGCATACTGAAGGAAAATGCGTGTAAAATATCTCAAATCCAACATTATATGGACAATATGATGTGAAATCTATATTCAAATTGAAGTTAATTGAAGTTAAATATAACAACCCACCCATTAAGTTCTGCTGTGCAATTGATTTGATTTGCCCAATACTTGAAATTATAGTTTATGTATTTAAATAATGCAAATGTGAATCACATCAAGCAAGCAAGAAAAGTAGAAATAGAGCAGTTTTGGAACCATGGGCTTAACAAAAGAACAAACTCATGGCCACTGGGGGAGATTTTACATTTTCAAAAGAAATACTGATACTATACTAGTAGTTTGCATAGGGTTTGACAGATGTCAAGTATCACTGAATTTCCCTTGAAAAATTAAAATATTGCAAGCATCCCTGTGAATTTGCTGTGGGATATTGGGGCATACAGATTGGGGGTTTGGGATTTATGGATCTATCTAAGCCATGAATGAGAGGTACATGCAGACTACTGTTACTGACATAAGCACCACTTTCCATAAAAATAGGTGGAGAAAATGAGAAATGTAACTTTGTAAAACATCACTAAGTCTTTGGCCATTGCTTAAGACATATCATGAAGGAGAAAGAGAAGAAGAATGCAAATTATATAAGTTTTATTTTTTTTAGTTTTAATATTTTTATATCTTTAAAGATAAACTCAGGTCAACTTCATACATAATACATCTATTCAATGTAGTAGTCCTTAGCGCTACAGCACTGGGTGAATCTTCTCAGGCTGCTGTCAATCACACCAGAGAATTCTATTGGGGGAGAGCAAAAGAGCTGGATCACTGGCAGCTTCTCCTTCATTAACTCTTGTTAAGGGGCCAATTTACTCTTGGTTTCCTCTCCACTGCTCTTTAGAAGCATATGTTTCAAACTCCCAATTTAAAGTAGTGGAAATCATGCCATCAATTTTCAGCAATGATTTATACCAGAAAAAGTATGGAGCCATGAACATCTTTCGGCTTGCAAGTTGCCTATTCATAATTTACAAGATATTTGGTTGCAAAGGATCTCTTTTGTTATCAGGCAGAATGACAAAAATAAGCAGGAGTACACTTGAGGAACTGGGTTAAACTGGGTTAATTCCTTTTAATTTTATGCAACAGTGAAGATATAACTGTCTTCAATTAGTATGGTAATACATATATAGCTCCAGTTGTAATTTCATTTGAAACAATATCAGAGAAATGGCCTGCATTGTTCAGTTCAGCTCATCTATATACTAGTAGTTCCACATACTGGATTGTTCGAAGTGGAAAAAGTAACTGTGAACAACTTTTAGGCTAGTATTATAAAATGTGCCAGCAAGTAATCTGGTTTTATCCACCCTGCTATAGAATTACTTTCTTATGTAGTCCTTTCTCTTGCCTTTCTATTTCTTTCTTCTTCTTGCTGTCTTGGGAAGTAATTTCCTGCAGTGCTTCAGTGTAAGAGGGAAAAGTATCATATACCATTGTCCACAAAGGGCAGTTCTCAGAACCATTTTTTTTTTGTTAGTTTTATGATTACAAGGAAGAACAGTTGTTTATTTGTACTATTCCAGTGAAGTAACTAAAGGAGTAATCCTTTAGGCTGCAATTCACAAAAGAATGTTTCACTTAAAGATGAACTGGAAATAAATGGAAAGGCTCTTTGGGATCGTATGTGAAACATACAAGGATGTTCAAGGGAAACAAATTACAACAAAAATAATTTGATATTTTATTGGCTGTTTACTTATCTAAATTTTTAAGTCCTAAGATTTATCATGTCTGTGAAAAAAAATGAAGGAACAGGTCAGGAAAAAAGGAATGAGAAACTATGGTAAGGATGAAGCTGGAATTCCTTTTTAAATGCATACTTGGTTTTATTGGAATTGGATAAACTAACCCTTAATATTTAAGAAAGTTTTTTAAAAATAAACTGTGAAATGGTGAGTTTGGAAAGAAGCACTGATAATCACTTCCATATGTTGATATATAAGAAAAATAGTATTTAAGTACAGCTTTCCTTTGAGGAAAAAAAAAGTCTCAACAGAGTCATACACTCCTTAATTGTTGCCTTTCAATTCTATCAGGTTTTTTTCCAGAGCTCTATTTACCTCCTAATTATCAAAGTAGATTGAACATATATCTCAATGTAAGAGCATTTCAAAGCAGTGTCTTTAAAAGAGGGAGA